GAGACAGAATGCGCCCTCCACTACCCTCAGCACCAGTCCTGAGCGCTTCCTCAGAGCCTGCCTGCATTTTAGCCATTTCCAAGCTGTGCTGCATTGACCTATTTTTATCTCTCTCTGTCTTTCAGGGTAGATTTGAAGATGTCCAAAGCAAGGGATTTTGTCACGTTCACCTCAGTATCCACCATCTCCTGCCCAAAGCAGATGTTCAGGTAGATTTAATGAGAGATGAAGGAGGGGTTCTTTGGGGCCCCAGGCTGTCTGCTCCGGGGTTGGCAGTAGACTCTGACTGAAAGTTGCCTTACGAGAAGAGAAGAAGTAAGTGGAATTTGTAGAGGTTTCCTTTTTCTGCCATCCCCCAAACCCTACATGTCTCTCTCTGGCACAGCAAAGAAAGCAGTCAATGCAGTAAACTGCTTCATTCTAAGATGTGAATGGCTCTAGGGGTACCTGCATTTGCATAGGAAGCAGCCATCCCTTAACCTAATGGGTGTGTTGGTGCCTTGGTAATGGCATCCTCAGCAAGCTGGGTTTGGCCCAGGTCTGGCTTCATCAGCGGTGCCCATGAGTCTCATCTTGCCGAGACTCCGTTTACTGAAGCCTTAATGACACTTCCCAGACATGTCCCAGACACGCTCCAGGGTTGTGTGAAGATGAAATGAATCAGTGCTCACAAAGCTGCTGCTCTTTGTAACGTCCTAGAGAGAAAGGGGTGATATTGCCATGACTTTGGGCCGGGGTGGGGCCTCCTCACACTCTCAGTCACACCTGAGTGGCTGGTGGCCCCAGCAAGGAAGCCACCCACCTCCCTTTCATCTTAGAGCTGCTGAGCAGAGAAGGGAACCCTGCCATCTCTTCCACCTTTCACCCCCACCTCCCCCAGGCAGGAGGCGGGAGGCTGGAGAGCCTCAGCCAACCTTTCTTCTCTTATTCCTCTCCTCAGTCTCTCTGTGTGTGTGGGGGGGCGGCTCTGTGTGTGTGTGGGGGGGACCCCGCCCCCTTTTGGGGTCGCACAGGTCCACTCTCAGACCACCCCCAGCCCGGCTTCCCTCTATATTGGGAGACAGCCCTCCAGGCAGCTTCCTGCTGAAGCAGCTAGGAGCTTTCAGAACTGCATGTCTCCATCCTCACTTGTCCATCTGTTAGGTCATCCTGGCTCCTCCAGAGGGGAGCGTTTCTCCTTTGTCTTTTCACCCAAAGCTCCCTTCACCTTCTCTTCAAGCCGGTAGCTTCTGAGGCCATGATCCCCCCCTCGCTGACAGCCGCCTTCCATCTCCACGCTGCTCCCTGCCCTGCAGTCAGCTTAGCAGCCCCTCCCCAGACGCCCCAACCTCCAGGGCGCCGGGGACACAGCACTGATGCCTGCAGGACAGCATGTTGGGGGTCACAGAATGCTGCCTTTTTCCTCCAGCCAGTCTGGAACTGACCCCAACCCTCCCAGTTCAGACCACTCTCCCTGCTGGCCTCACGCTCATCCTCCACACTCCAGAAAACTCCCAAAGCACCTCATGGGGTTGGAGCTCCCTTCTTGGGGACCTGGGATACTCATCTCTGGCTCCCTGCCTGCCTGGAGCCGTGTGCCCATGAGTGCCCACAAGTGCCCATGAGTGCCCATGTGCCTGAGCCTGTACTTTGCAGTGCCAAGCAGGCACAGGCTATGACATGCTTTTACATCTCCAGTGCCTGGCAGGGAGTAGGTATTCAAAACCATGTTTCTTGATTTGGGGGACACCCCCCCAGTGATGCTATCAGCCCCCAGGAAGCTCCTCCTCTGCTGAGGGCAGTGGGCAGCCGCACTGCCAGCTCTCAAGTTTCTGTGCTGGGGGCCGGCCCGTCTGAGTGACCAGAGGGGGCCAATCTGAGACAAGGGGCTTGGGGTCAGTGTGGACGACTCGCCTCATAGGAGTTCATTGAATGCCCAGTTTCATGGACAATCCTCTCCTCCTCAGCTCTGGGTGCTTGGGAATGAGGTTTGAGGTTTGAGCCCAAGTCTGGCAGCTCCAAACTAGACCTTGCTTAGAAAAAGACCCAGGGCAGCCAACTCCAGAGAACAGTGGGTGGTTTTTTGCCTAGAACTGGGGTCCAGGAGGATAGAACTGAAAGAGATCAGCCTTCCCATAGGCGATCATGGAACAGAGCCCCCAAACCAACTGGAGCCCCAGATCTTACTCAAGTGTTGAGTCTCCAGTGAGCTGAGACTGCAGCAAGAGCAACTAAAATTAGTCAAGCCAAGAAAACCTTTGGGCTGGGAGGCTGACAGCAGTGAGGTGCAGGAAGCTCAAGCTGTGGAGTCCCCCCAGGGTGCTTTAGAACCAGCGCTGGCTTGGCAGCGGCTGCCCGGAGACAGGGCCTCAGCAGAGGTGGCCTGTCCAGTACCGATGGACCTTGCTACCTCGTCTGCACAGCCTTGGGAGGGACGAGCACCCTGGGGCAGAGGGAGCGCCCCTGGGCTGACAGGGTGGGAGGCGATGATGCAGCCCCCCGTGGGGGTGCCCTCTGACTCAGGTCCTGCCAGCAGCTCGGATATGCCAGGGCAAGTTCCAGCCTTCCCTGCCTGCTGGTGGCCACGCTTCCTCCCTCTCCTCCCTTTGGCCCTGCCTTCAGCTCTGCCCCATCTTTGTGCACGGGCAGTCCAGGGCCTCCCTGGGGCCCACATGGCTTGTCTCCCAGGGGATGCCCTGAGGGTGGCATGGGGCAGGTGCCCACACCCCGCTGGGACCCTCTGAGCCTCTGGGATGCCCTAGCAGTGGGGTAGCACTGGCATCGTTATCACGTTTCCAGTGAGGGACAGGGCCCAGGACCTCAGAGCCAGCAAATGGCTGGGTCTCAGCTCAGTCCAGCTTACCTGGTCCTCTCTCAAGCCACAGCCCCTTGGGATGGGGACACTTTGTCTGGGAGGCTTAAGGGTAAGGCCTCTGGGCTGAACCCTCAGGTCCAAGGAAAGAGGAGCCTCAGAGGCCTTGACTGGGCCTCGACTGTGGCAGTCACCGTCAGCTGGCACCTTTTTCCAGGTGTGGCTTGCGGGAGCAGGTCTCCTGCCCTTGCCCTCCCCCTGGGTTGAGGAGTGAGGTCTCACCTTGGATGAGTCCTTACACTTTAGACTCTGTGCTCATGTTGTGGGGTACAGGATCCTATACCCCAATCCACACTGCTTGCTTTCCTACTGGGCGATGGTTTGGGAGCAATCAGACCTGATGGTCTAGGGGGGCAAGGCTTGAGCCCAGTTCTGCAATCCAAAGCCTGTGGTCTTGATATTGGGGTGTGGACTTCACGTAAGGAGCCACCACTAAGGGCTCCCCCTGCCTAGGGCCCCTCCAGGGCCCCTGCCCAGCTCTCCCCTCCTGTCTAGGCCTCTCCCCACCCCTCCCCTCTCCTCCCCCTGTAACCTGGAGGGGAGGCAGGGTGGGGGGCAGCCTGAGTCCTCCACAGTTACCCAGCTGTTCCTGCTGCGCCCCACCCCCAGACCCCCCACAGGGTTGGGTGTGCCAGCCTGCTTAGCACACACCTAGTACTGACTTTATTCAGGCCAGCTGCCTGCCTGCCCAGCGCTGCTGTAGCTGCAAACACCAAGTCCAGGCAGAAGAATCTTCAGCTGCACCCCTCGGTCACCTCTTGAACCTTGGCGGGAGAGGAAGGTAGGTCCAAAGTGGGGCAATTCACACTCTTTTCATAGAAGCAAGAGGCTCAGACACTAACAAGGAAATACAGTCACCTGTCAGAGGACCCAAACCCAGATAGACCCAGGACCCAGTTCAGTGGGACAGAGCTTTGCTAGATGTGTGTGTGTGTGTGGGGGGGGGGCGGGGGGGCCGGGAGGGCTTCGCTGTCCAGCTGTCCGGCTCCCCTCACAATCAGGCAGGGCTAGTTGTGCTGTCCTTTCTTGGGCTCATCTGCCTCCTCCCCTCGGATTGTTTGCTAGTAGCCTCGGGACCAGCTGAGAATGGCCCGTGCACCCACCGTGCCCTCCCCTCCCCTGTGGACTGTGGTTAGCTGTGACATTTAAGAGCCAGGCAGGGAAGGCACCTGACCTTGGGAGGAATGCAGGAAATGTCTGCAGCCTAGAGCAGTCACCCCCACCTGGGGCACAGGAATGTGAGCTCCGGCCCCCAAGGGAGATGTGTGTGTGTGTGTGTGTGTG